GCTGCGCCGGTCTGGTGCTCCTAGATGTGGATGATTTTGTCCAGGGAGGAAACCCTCGACACGAGCTTCTGATGGAAAGCCTGCGGCAGAGGTTTCGATTCGGGAAGTGGAGAAGCATCTACAAGTCATCTGGGGAGTACTTGGGACGAACCGTCTACCAGACCGAGGACTTCGAGATCCAGATCTCCATGGAACGATACATACAGGAAAAGCTGAAGCCAATCGTCTTACCAAGGGACAAAGTCAAGGACGAGGACTGCATTCTTGATGGCAACGAGACGACCTTGGTACGTGGAGCGGGCGGATCCTTGTTATGGATCGGGCGAGAAGCTCGCCCTGACATGGGCGCAGCCTGCGCGATGGCGATGTCATTTGCCAAGGAGGGCCCGAAGGTCCGGAACGTGAAGTGGATCAACAAGGCCATAGCTGAACTGAAGAACACGTCAGACACCAGGCTCCGCATCCTCCCGATTCCGCTTCAGAGTGGGATATGGATGGTCTTCACGGATGCCTCTCTGGGGAATGCCGAGGGAGACAAAAGCCAAGGTGGCTTCTTGCTGGCGTTCGTGGACAAAGAGATCATCGATGGGCAAATCGGACGACTCAGCATCAACAGCTGGAAGTCGCACCGACTCCGTCGAGCAGTCAAAGCTTCCCTTGGGGCAGAAGCGCTGGCGCTGGACGATGGGTTGGCTGAACTTGAATGGGTGAAAGCCCTGTACTGCGAGATCGCCATTCCCGGCACCTGCGTGAATGATGGATCCAGGTACGGAGATGATGAGACTGTGGCAGTCATCAGAGTCAAAGACGAGGAGGACTCGATGGCTGTGACGGACGCCCGAGCTCTCTATGATCTCTGGCATAGAAGGTCAGGAGCTGCCGGTCTCTGTCGAAGAGCTCAGCTGGACGTGGCGGTCATGAGGAAGAGCGCCGAGGTCCTCAAGACGAAGCTGTATTGGCTTCCGGGCGAGTACATGGTTGCTGATGCACTGACAAAGCGTCTAGGGAACAGTTCGTTGCTTCGATGGGGCATGGCTACCTGTCAGTTTGCTGTCACCAAGACGGCCCTTTCCAAGCTCTGGATGTCACCCTCCGTTGGATGTAAAACCGTAGACAGTAAACTCCAGAGCTGTGTGCAGGAGGGCCCGTAAGTACACTCCAACATGTGGTGGCATGCCGAGCTGTGACCTTGAGCTGTCCGCTACGCAGGCGCCTTGAGCTTCTGGAAAAAGTGCTAGAGCCCATCCGTGTGCTGCGCTTTGTACCGCTACGCAGGCAGTACGTGTTGGTTCTCCCGGGCTCACAGATTCTCACGCGCTCAAAGGTGCAGAAGAAGCTCCAAGTAGAAAGCTGACGAATTGCCACACAAAACCCTCGACAAGCTTGGCAAGTAGCATGCCTTCCCTTCATGGGTGTATGCTATTGCTGGTACCCATGATGGTAGTAAAACTAGTAATCGCACTCACAACGCATAATAACAGGAGTCAATATAACAGCAATGCATAGTAGACAATAAGAAGCTGTGAGTCTTGCGTGCTGGTCTTGGTTTCTTGAAGCCGAGGCGGATGCGAAGGGGCCCAGGCGACTCCAGGGACACCAAGCACGTCCTCTTCATTGTGAGACATGATGAGGAAGACGAGGATGAGGACGAGTATGAAGAGGAGTGAGCAACAGCTGGTAGCAATACGAAACAACTGCTACATGCTGCTCAAGTTTTTTTCAGAGTGCTTGAGCGCAGCCACGACTTTCCTAATTATGGAGATGAGTTTGCAATGAAGCTGCGTCGGTAAGCGAAGCTGTTCGTTTGCAAGCTTCATAGAAGGCTCCGGCCTGTTGGATTTAAACTATGATCCTTCTCAAGAAGTTGCCAACACCGACCCAAGCTTCACTCAAACGCATCTCCATGGTGAAATCTCTTAGAGATTCGCCGCTCCCAGAGTGTTTTAGAAGGCTCGCTTCAGCTTTGGTCATCGACCTGTAAGACTCGTGTTAAACCGCGGCGGGGCCTTGGCCCCCATGCAAGTACGTTGATAATGGAAGGGAAAATGGAAAGTATTATGGTATACTGGTGATGACAATGGAAAAGGAAGATCTACTTTTTAGTGAGAACCTGTATTGCAGCTTAAGTTGCAGCAGCCTGAGCAAAGGCAAGTTGTGGGGACAGAGAGGCCAGTAGAGGGTGAAGGCACTCACTTGATGTGTCACTGTTTTAAAACCACCCAGAAGAGCATTGAGCAGGGCCAGGTTCCGGGCAAACTCTTGTGACAAGCCCGTTGCAACAGGGACCACCCACACGATATAGTATGATGCAGTTTGCTAAGTCCCCCCCATTATAACCCCCCATATAATATGCAATTATACTATAGTAGCTTCCATCTTATTTTCCATTATCCCCAATATAAGTACTTTCCATTTTCTTTTCCCCCTTTTCAACCCCTATATTCATTCGCTGACCATGGCGCAAGCCTCATGTTCGGACTTTTTGCTGCTGTCGTCCTTCAAAGGATCAATGGCAGCGGAAACGGTTTCAAACGTGGGGCTTTATCGGTCAGGTTTCAATCATGCAATGTGTGTTGAGTGGATGAGTGATGACCAGCACAGTTTGTCATGACTGCTTCCAGATGCTTCCTCCTCAGAATTCGCTAATTTAGTTATCCACTCCTCACCCGCTTTAACAGCCGGCCCAAAAAAGTGTCCGGGGTGTTAATGACAGTTGCTTTTAACAAGTTTGAAGGTGTGAAGGGCTTCGTTCGCCAGGCAGCGTTGTTTTTGGTGCGTGTGGGTGGGGTTTCTTCAGCTAGAGACGCATGCAGAGGTAGAGGTTTCTCATCGCCAGGCCGCCAGAAGATCAAAGAACTCTAACCTTGTCAAGGTTGTTCAAGTTGATAAACGATCACGTAGTCAGAAGCCGCCAATGTACCCAGGTCCCAGATCTGGGTGATGGAGTTCGTTGGAGCCGGGCTCTTGTCTCGGCCTGAGACCTGCAAGGCGCACGCGGACGGGAAGAATTCGGCTTTCAGGCTCAGGCAGGTCATTCAGGGGAAAGGAGGAGTTTGTAATCTGCAGCTTTGACTTTGCCGCCATTTGCCGTTCTGCTGGACTTCCTTGCCAAAGTGCTTGTCCAAGTCCATTTGAAGCAGATAGCCCTGTCCTTCACTCAGAATGGGGCCTAAGTCAACGTACGATCCTCCTCCCAACCACCCTGTAAAGAGCCATGGCAGTGAGGTACTGGCGCCAGCCATGTTGATCCGAGGCCGGGGCCCCTGGCATGAGGTGACATGAGAGGGAACGATGGCCCAGTCATTCTAATCTTTTGCGGCGAGGGCTATCCATTTCTGACTCCCGAACAGAGCAAGCATAGAGGAATGCGGAATGGACTGCTCTTGCTCACGTAGTTATGCACATGCTGGAGCAGGTGAAGACAGCGTGTGGCAGAGGGAGCTAAGAGAGGCCAGGAATCACGATGACTTGATGACTTGATGAAGTCTTGTTCCATGTGGTTCCAGTGTTGGTTGTTGAAAACTCATCCCTCAGGTCAGTGCGCAGTGGAAAGAACCTTTGCGAGCCGGAGCCGGAGCAACTTCTCGCGAAAGCGCGACGGTATCTCTGTGTCTCTGTGGCTCCCAGGTTTGGCAGTGGCACAGCGAGCGTGCCTGCGACCTCCGATACGAGGCGAACCTCGCCACATTTGCCAAGAAACAACAAGTTTGAATGTCAGGTGAACACTGCAGCTTGGAAAGGCCCACGCTTGCTCTGAAGCTGCAAGTGAGATATCGCAGAACCAAACAGTCCCAGACATAGCCATCACCGGACTCAAAATTGTGCATAGTGGATTTGGCCGGGTTGGACCTTGCTGAAGACACTGCACAGAAAGACTCCCCGTGCAACGTGGCCACTGAGCGAAGCTCGATCTGAGACGTGACTCCGAATCTGATGCACAGGACCCATCCTCGAGCTTTATGACGTTGTGGTCACAAGCTACGTGTCCTGGCAGTAGCTATGACAGCTATGACCTTGCGTAGATGAAAGTCAGTAGCTTCGAACCGTCGAACGGGGCGAACGGTAAGTATGTGCTTTGGTGATGTCGCCCTTGCATACTTCAAGCTCTCATGAGCGCTGCATTGAATGAAAGGAAAGCTTCCTCCAAAACCAGGACATGTTTGTCAAAGAAAGTCTGGACGGCGTGTTTGCTGCTGAACGTGATGTGCCAAGCCGGGCTTCAGCAAGTTAGATACGGCATTTGATGAAGTTCCCTGATTGTTAAAGGCGACGCTTCAAGAAGCAAGTCTAGGTGCACAGGGAAGTGGTAGTTTCCAGAAATTGGGGGGCCGCAATCTAGACTCCACTATGCCATGGTTCCATGAAAGAGGAAACTAAGAAACTGCTAATTATTTGCAAGCCCCCGAATATGAAAAGGCCTTGCAATGGTAAAGCTTCCAAGGAATCGGCTTGATGCCAGGAGCTGTTTTGAGGTCTTGGGAATCGTTGATTGATTCGGCAGTCCACGTGCTACCTGCCCAAGTGTGGTGAAGGACTCATTCTATTTAGGGCCCGACTAGTGACTATTTGCATATGGGCCCCGCAAGGCCCTTGGGAAACAAGAATATCGGGAGGCTAGGGAATCAGATCTTGACAAAAGGTATTACAGCAGGACTCCAGCAAAGGAATGGTAGCTACTCAAGGGGCCACAGGATAATTCCATATAAAGCACAGGCTGCAGTCAGTGGCTAACAAGCACCCCTGGTTCTAGAGGGGCCGTCAAGAATCAGAACCTGGCATGAGCACAATCCTTCCCTGAGTAAAATGACAGGTTGGACCTGCGTTGTTCTGGACGAGGCTTGCGCATTCACATGTATTGCTGCCTGACGGGGCCTTGCTGTCCATTCATGTCTGCATCATTCGCTCTGGGCGATGCCAGGCGCAGTTCATCAAGAACCATGCCACTCAAACATCTGCGGCGGTGAAGCGTCGAACGTCTCAGTCAGTTCTGCAGTTTGACCACCCAACCCCTTAGTAGAAGCAACAGAGTGACGAGCTCATGCTGGGGATGAAATGGAAGAAAATGCGTGTGCTCTTTCTTGAAGCTTCGGACCTGTAAACTGAGAAGCAAGATTTCAGAACCGAACGAAGTCTGGAGAGGGCCCGGAAGTAGTAGCAAGGAGCCAATTTCAACAAAATTCAACATTTGCGACGTCTCGGCTACCATTGGCAACTGTGAAAGTAGCCACCAAGGAATGCAGCTGTAGATTTCTGGCGCCGGATGAGACTCTCTTAAACTCCACATCCCCGCCTAAAATCAAGGGCTCCCACGATGAGAACTCATGACGGTTCCGAATTTGGCTTCGCCCGAAGCTTTCAGTGTCCCTAATGTCACCCCGTAAACCCGAATTAACTAAAGGGAGAAATTCACCCTCAAAACCTCACATACTTATCATTCCCTTGAGAACCTCTAGAACCCCACCTGAAGCCTATATACGCTGTGTTGGCTCGTTTTTTTTCACATGAAGTACTGTTCCTCCTACACTCCCGCATAAGACTACTGGTAACCTCTTGGTAACCTGAAAGATCAGGTCTGGCCTCCGCAGCTCCCTACAGGCTAGCGCTCACAGGAACGCCCATCGAGCATGGCTCTCAGCCCTTCGAGGGGAATTTTCCAAAGCATGACCATCAGCAGATCACAAAAATGGCAGCAATGTATCAGTGTCATACAGCCGCATGGCCAGACATCAATCCAAGTTCAACGACCCTGAGGTACGGCAAAGTAGCTTGACAAGCAAACTGTAAAACAGACTTATGATCTCAGAGTCTGGGGGTAAGTTCATGCTTCAGGCCAGAGAAGAGTCGTCACGAATCGTCAAGCCATTATCCTGCCTGATGGCTGCTTGACCCAGGAATTCCATGGATGATGTTCACTCCATCCTGCAGTTTGTTGGTGCCTAAGCTTGATGTGCTCAAAATGTGAGAAATCTTTGCAGAAGGGCATTTTGGCGCCTGTTGGGTTGTTCCCATGTAGTGTTGGATTCATGCTGTCTCGAATAAGAGCACGGAGGATGTTGCGAACAGTTTGCGGATCTTCTTCCACCAGCTATGCAAGCGCAATATGCGCAATTGAGCAGCTTGTGGATAACTAGGTTCATCCCTAGAAAATCAA